TGCAGCTTTTGGAAGGGTCACAGGCAAGACATTCTCTTCCCCAGTGGAGCTTATTATAATGCTGACCCCTTAAAACTGTGCCTACAACAACTGCAAGTTGTGTCCTTGAATAATCAAGTAATACAAAAGACTAAGGTTTCATCCATGGGATGTATTCAACCTGTTTTTCAAAGACTTAATAATTAGAGATTTCTGGAATGTTAGGCAAATCCCAGTAACTCTCACCCTTCTGCCAAACAATACTCCATCAGTGAAAAAAACAGGGGTGAAATTCTGTTTTCATTTAAGCCAGCTGAAAATTTACCATGGAATTCAGTGGGGTCAAGGAAAGTCCATGATCATGTAAGTGATTAAATAGCTTCAGTAATCTTGGAATTTTCACCAGTGAATGAATTTGAGACAATTGCAAACAATCAAACAAATAACAAAAAGTGGATTTTTGACAAAATTAATGGCACAATAACTAAAATCATTGCTTTTCATGGAATAAATTGAGGACTATTATAGTAAAAGCAAATAAGATGTCTTTTACAAAACAAATATTATGGAGATTTGCTGAGAAAAACAAAAGTTTGATAGAAAAATGAGTTCTACTTAGTGCATTATTGGTAAGTGTACTGGTTGAATTAATTTATGTTCTTATTTTTGCCACATCAGTTATGAACAGGCTTTTTCACATTTTCATTTGTTATAGAGCTCCACATTGCTAAAATACTCTTGCTTTAATGTATGTGAAATACATTTCTATCTTTACGGATTGCCAACAACCATGTTTCCTTTTCTTACAGTATTTATACACTAAACATCTCTTCTTATTTCTGGTACTGCCACTACATATGTCACTTTTAAGAGGCAATTCTACCCATAACATGCATTGCACTTAAATTCTTACATTTTTAACACTTCATAATGATGTCTTACTATAACCTTCGATCATGTGCCTTAACATATCTGGGTTTTGGAAATATTGAAGCTGTTACATTCCTGTTAATGAGTGTTGACATTCTTAAGCAATACACAGTTCAAGCACATTTCAATTCTACTGATACACTGCACTGGATAAGAATTTTGCTAATCTAATAAGGAGATGGGAGCAATATTTCCTATCAGTGATCCATGAAGTCTCCATGCAAGTTTTGTCATATCAGAGAGATGACAGTGTGCTGAGACAAACTTCCTACCAGAGAAATTGTAAAAGCCTGTACACACACATAAACAGACAATTTGTCTTTTCATCCCAAATTTTGCTATTCTGCATATTATATATTGACACATTGTGTCAATTCAAGGACTATCTTTGATCTTTATCCCAGAAACAAGGAAAGGAAGGTGGATTATTTTGCTGGGGTGTGTCTCCTGTGTTACATGAGTCTGCATGGCCATGGCTTTCATTCTGCACAGGAACACCTCCTCATAACCACAGTTATGCCATCTAAGTGTGTTGGATAATGAAGTTATCATTTTGAGCCAATTCAGAATTCCTTTAATCAGTACAGTAAATCGAAATTCAACTATAAAGCAAACAAAGTGGAACCTTTAGGATTTGGTTGTGCTATTATATAAAGGCCTATAAATATATGTTTGATGTGCTTCAGGCAAACAGCCTCTGCCTCAAACAGCAATGTGCTGGTGTATAATAAATTTTTAATATTATATAAATGTGCATAATAAATTTTTTTTTACAAATTCTAAACTCAATGACAATGTTTCTGATCTTAAGGTGACTTCAACTGCTAATATGAGTGAGAGTGGAACTGCCTCATGTATTCTTTCTCTTGTTCTGCATTGAATAATGTTACCTAGATTGACAGGGAACTGAGCCACAGGTAAGCTGCAAAACACAGCAACTGTTTATGTAACATAATGTATGCTTAAAATAATTAATATCTATAATGATAGCTTTCTTACCAGCAGCTGCTTAAAAAGACATAAGTAGAAAAGGTCAAAATAATAATGCATTTCATCCTACAGAGAGGAAATATTTTCATATTTTCAAAACTGCTAAAAAGAGAGATTTGTAGAGTTTTTATCATGAACATACTATTGCTTTTCTACAGCCCTTTGTGAAACTACAGTAATTCACAGTTGTCATAAAAGCAGTACACAAAGAAAGGCATATCCAAAGCCTAAAGCAGTAAGAAGGTCACAGAGCACCCTATTTTTAATTCCAAATAATTTATAACTTAAAAACCTACTTTAAAACAACAACCAAAAAAAAAAACCAACAAAAAAACACCACTAACAACAACAAAAAAAGAATTCTACAACTCTACCTTTATAAGAATATATTTTGCTTTCACTTTTAAATTATATCCTGTCCAGGCTGTAATCACAGCTTTTATTTACTGCAATAGAACAAAACATTTCTAATTGCTTTTACTGGTTTTCTCATTACTATAAATAAACACCCCCCTCCCAATAGTATCAGGTACTACAATGAACAATACAAACACTCAGTCTCAGGTAAGTCTGCACTTGACCTCCTTCTCCTCTGGCTTACCTGGATGTTCATGATTCTCTTTGGAATTCACACAGTAGAAGTTAAATTGACTGAAACAAAGCTTCTAGTCAAAAAGTGATGAAAAAGAACACAAGTATACAGTCTGAATTTTTATCTCAACTAAATGAGAAATCCCTTCGTTAAAACATTTTTCTGGTAAAGATGAACATAGTGGTTGTGGTTAGATAATCAGCATAGACTGACTCAGCTACTCTACACAGAAACTTAGCTAAATACAGAATCATTTTCTTAAAACAAAAAAGAGAGAATTCAATACATTTTCAAACCAATCTATTAACACTGAGAACTATCAAAAAGAAGGCTGATTTGTTTCATAAGTCTAATAACTAGTGTTGATAAGGAGAGAAAAATTCATCTCCCAGAGTACGTACGCTCAAATAAGTTGCTTGATCTATGCAAGAATTCAAAAATCATCTCCTCATGAGGGAAATAAAAATTTTCTTTGCTGTGTTGGTATCATTTGCACTGGTAAACTTAATCACTAAAGTCCTAATGTGCTCATGAAAACTTGTGACAGGATGATTAGTAAAATTTTTCTCCAAAGAAGGTGTTACAGTGAAGAATTAACCAGGAAACTGGAAGAGTAACTTTGTTTGGTTGTGTCCAAAAGACTTTGCATGGGAACAGGAAAAATAACATCTGTAAAACAGTCATATTTTCTCAGGTGTTACCTATTTTTTGCCATAAGTAACGTATTATATGGTTTTTGCCAGAATGCACATCTGGTGATCAGAAAACCTGGGAATCAAAGACAGGATTTAGGCAGAATTGGTCTGTTGAGTTTAGTCAGTTATATGTTTAATTTCTGATTTTTTGGCTTCAGTGAACTTGTCACCTGTGATAAGCAAATGACGTGACAGACATTGCACAGTCACGACTTTGGACCTCTCTTCAGCTGGGTCCTCAGCTGGTTTGAGCAGTTACACAGACTTCCTCAACCACTATTTCACCTTGCTGTCCACTCAGCTCTGGTAGCTGGTATTAAAAGACACATCTCAGTATCCCTCGAGGGACAGAAGTGCACTGTGAATTAATTTAACGCAGCAGCTCAATCTCTACAAACTTGCTGCAAACTAATGAAATTACATGGTCAAGCAATGACAGACTTGTGCTCCACTTAAGCTCCTCTAATGTTAGTTTCAAACACCTAAGGTAATAAAAAGACACTTCAAGAAAGGCTCGTTATTAAATTAACCTGTGATAAAAGTAAAATTGTGGTGTTGCATTAATGTTTAGGTAACTTATACCATTACATGTCAGACAGTGGTGAAGAAAGCAGAAACCTGAAAGATGACATACTTTCTTTTATTTGACCTTCTTTAATTGAAATCTTTGTTACAAGTTCTGTATTGACATAACTTAATGAAAATTTATATACTGGACAATGGGTACTTTGTGCTGATTAGGTGGGAAAAAAATTACCTTCTTTACTGCTATTTATAACACAGCTAATGATTTTTTTGGGGTGAATAGCTTCTTATTTATCTTCAGATGCTTTTCTTGGCAGGGACAAAGTAAGGACAAAAACTCTTCATTGTTTTTGTGGGGTTTTTTTGCAACAAGGTGAAAATATGGGGCTGATTTCTGTAAAATGGTTCTACTTGCCCAGGTTTTCCCATATATACGAGTCAGATTTTTCCTATAAAGGGTGACCCCTCTAAATCTGAATATTGCAATAAGAAAACCACTGTCCATTACCCAGTTATTTTAAATACTAGTGTATTCGAAAGAAACATCTGTTTTAAAATAGTGTAGCATTATTCTGGTTCTATTAAAATACCCTGCTATGTAACTGCCCACCTCTTTACAGCAGTTTCAATTTCAGGACAGCTGTGTTTTGGAAAAGGCTTAAAATCAGATGAATCATTGGTTCTCCTGGGAAGCATAAGCTGCTGGCTCTTTGCCCCATAGATAGGCATTTGTAATATAGCCATTAGGACAGCCCCTATCCCTCTGCCATATTACAAAATTAATGAGTTCTTTTCAATAACTTTACAAAGCCCATAAGACATGACATAGCAAATTCTTCCTCTGTTACTTAACTAATGAGGTTTCTACTTCTGATTTAGATGGATAAGTGCAGGATCCCACATGCAAAGGCAAAGTGTCAGCCTTACAGCTGATTTCTGTTGTAGAAAGTGTTTGTCCTATGTTAGAAAAGCAGCTGTTTGCTGAAATTCTGTGGAAATTCGAGTATTTGATGTAAAGGGACTAGTGTTTCTGTCCTGTAAGTGCAATGTAGTACCATGTTTCTCTTCGCTACTATAATATACTAAAATCACAATGTAAATGTAAAATTACATCTGCATTTAGCTTTTACAAATGAAAATATTTTCATAACAGCCATATGGCTCTCCACAAATTTCTGATAACAGTAGCAATGACATATTTGTAACAGGATACCCCAGTGCAATTCCAGCAATTTAGAAAACAGTACAATGGAAATATTACACAAATTTAGCAGTAAAAGTGTGCTTACCTTCATACGTTCCGCTTTCTAGGAGAGCACCACTTTTCTCCAATTCCATAAAATCTTCAACAGTGATGAAAATATAGTCCACACCAGGGACTTCCCCCTCCTTATGTGGCCTTGTGGTGCCTATTGATAAGATGAAAGACACACTGTCAAGCACACGGCCTAAATGTAGAATGATTTTTTTGAAAGCTTTGGAAAAGTCACAAAGTGAACCATTTGCACAACATCTTACATAGCACATCTTCCTTGGGAGGATGCCTTTCAAAGCAATCCAGCTACATTTGCTGAAGCTGACAGAGGTATATGAGATGTATGTTTAAGATCATGCCAGATATTACTTGGATCTATATTTATTCTCACTAACGAAAAACTGTCATACTGTTGTTCATTTTACCTCACTAAAAAGACCCTTAGTGACATCAGGCATTCAGAGGTAACACAAAACAAAGTCTTTTCTACAATTAAATGGCTTCATGATATTTTAAACACTTATTTAGAACACAATAGTTCTTTAAATAAATCTGTAAGGGTTGCATTCACATTGCTTGTTTCAGTGCCATAAGTGGACTTGACAAATGGTTAGGCTTTAGGGTCTGTGGGATTAAAATCACCTGCTAACCATGCTGTCAAACTGCAAAGGTGTTTATATTTAGTTATTGCCTCTATTGTCATCTCTGGATGACAGAACTCTGTAAAAGCTGACAGATAATATTACACACAGCCTGACAAGTGATTTGGCTTAGCTAGCAGAAGTTAGGATGTTCGTGGGGAAGAGTCTGAAACTGACCTGATTTCCTGATGGTCCAGTTTATTGTGGTCAGACTATCCCTGCTTTGACTGAAACCACTAATTAAGTCTCAAAATTCCATTTGGAAATGGAAGTGTTTTTGGTTCTCCTCAGTCTCAGTGTGTTTGAAACATCTTAATCAATTCTTTATCAATACTGTACTGATTACATCACACTTGCAGGGTTTCGTTCTCATTGGAAGTGGCTAGAAACCTGTCCAACCTTCTTTCTGTTACTTGAAGACAGAGAGACATAAAACGTTGTGTTAACTCAATTGCCTGTCATAGAGACCTTTTTCTCCTCAGACACAGCCTGAAGTCCATGGCAGACTGAAGGTGACTGTCAATACAATATTTCAGTACCTATCATGGGGAATATACTTGAATAAATCTGTAAGACCCTTCCCTCATTTTCTCTGATTCCAATTCCCTCCTCATCTCAACATTTACAACTAAAACTGGCTGTTAATTTCTAGGAATTCTCATACTATTAATTGGAGTACTGTGTGCAATTCTGGGCTCCTCAATGCAGGAGAGCTGTGGAGCTCCTGAAGTGAGTACAAGGGAGGGTGACAGGGATGACTGGGGATTTGAGTATCTGATGAGTAAAGGCTGAGAGAGCTGGGCCTGTTCAGCCTCGAGGGAAGACAGATGAGAGGGAACTTCATTAATGTGTATAAATATCTAAAGAAGGGATGCCAAGAGGACAAAGCCAGGCTCTGCTCAGTGGTGCCAACCACTAGGACATCAGGCAGTGTCTGATGCACAGGAAGCTCCGAGTATTTGGAAGAACTTCTTCACTGTGCAGTGACCAAGCACTGGAACAGGCTGCCCAGAGAGGATGGGGAGTCTCCCTACTGGGAGATATTTCAGAACCATTTGGATGCAATCCTGGGCCACGTGTTCTGGGATGACTCTGCTAGAGCAGGGAAGTTGGAACAGATGCCACACTGTGGTCCCTTCCAGCCTGACCCACTCTTCGATTTTGTCTTACTCTTGTGTTTTGGAGATGGTGTGGTTAAAGCAGTCAGACACTTGGATTATCAATAAACATGCTGAATTTATTTTCCATGGATTATCTGACCTCTGGGAATGCAGCAGCAGCCCCAAAGATCTCCAGCCCTTTGTGAGAACTATGTTGGAGCACAGGGATTCTGGTGTGCCCCTGAGCTCCAGGGAGCTCTGCTAGCAGCACAGACATCAGATGTTTGTTCTGCATGCTCTCTCCTGAGAAATTTTTCACTATCAAAGAATATTGACAGAAACTGTATCTTCCTCACAAAACACTCCGGCAAATCAAGGCTATTCCCAGACACAGCACAGGGAGGAAGCTGGCATATTAGATGAGTATCTCTAGCTTACTATTTATTCAATATTTTTTTTTAATGTAGACAAGCTTGGATTAGCAGTTTATCAATCAAACAAAAATACAAGCTACATAAAATGTTAGCCCTGCTTTGAGTGAAAATTTGGACCAGATGATATAAAAAGCTCCCTTACAACTGAAATTTTAAATTATTTTAGCTATTTAGTGTTAATACACCCTAGTTTGTTTTAAACACATGGGTATTCAGCAGTCATTCATGAGGGATGATTGCAAAATCTCACAGGAGGTCCATGAACACACTTGGTTATCCCTGTGTTTCTCTTCTTTGGTCACAGTCTTTGTTCAGCTTTGTTCAAGCCTAGAAAACTAATATAATGGACTAAATTTCAGATTCTGAATCTCTCCCTTAAGTTAGAAGCTACAGACCTAATCTTTCTGCCCTTATATATCTTAGTCCTGTTTTTTTGAGATATGATACAGATATGATACCTTTGGCACATGCCTTGCGTTAATTAACTATTAATTAAGTATTCTGTCTAATCTGCTTAGACAACAGCAGGAGATAACACTGCCACCTGGATGGTTCCACCCTCTTGTAATACCCAGGAGCCTGCTCCAAGAGCCCTGCACTGCATTGTGTACTGAGGGCAGCAGACCTATAAAAGATCAAGTAGTCACTTCCCACAAAAAAAAAAAAAAAAAAAGGAGAATTTATTGCTCTTGATAAAATCTTGCTGAGTCCCATTTCCTTCCTGCATCTGTTCTCATTCCCTCAGGCTGGAAGACCTGAGATCTTGGAAATGGTTAAGGCAACTCCCTGGCTAATGGAATAATCAATGGCTATTGCCTCTTTTACTCTTTCACCCTGGAGGAACTGAGTTCTTGCTAATAATACCTGTGTCATCCTTTATAGTTTTCTGTGAGCACCATGGACTTTGTAATGTGCATGTTTACAGAGTTGGACACAGTTACTGGAGCACCTTAAACACTCATCAAGGTCTGACCACTGAGATCTATATATTGGAATCTTACAGACCAGAGGCAAAATCTTTCCTTGCTTTCAACTAGAGCTACACTTCTTAATAGATTTTGTCTTTAATTACATTCATATAAAGAGATAAGCAAGCCTAAAGCTTATGGTGATTCAAGACTTAAAACAAAAGACTAATTCCAAGCCTCATAATTCTACAGAAACGCATCTTTTGTTATGCAGCATCAAGTTTTAAAAGGATGCAGTTGTTACTACTTGTCATATTTAGCCCTTTACTAATGCAAAATGGAATAAGAACTCAGTTACAATTTTGTTACCAAGGTAACATATGAAAAAATTATCTTTGAATTCCATAATGAAAGAATATTATACTTTTAGATCTTTTGGGACCAAACCCAACAAGGGGTATTTGCACTATGCATATTTCTGGCAAATGCAATTTATTGGTGCTGTTGAAGACACAAAATGAGAAGCTCTCAAGTAAACATGACCAGTCCAGTCATGCAAGTGCTGTCACCCAACTTGGAGGTACCTTAGAAGTTGCAGGACCTTGGTCTACAAAATCTGGACTGGTGTTGACCTTCCATGACCACTTATGTCACTTAACAAACAATCTGCTCTCAAAACCAATATTAAGGTCATTCAGTGAGCAACTATTTTGTCTGGATTTATAGCTTCAAGATGGATAGTTGGTACAGTTTAGAGATATATAAGGTATCTGCTGTATCTTTTTATTATTATTTTGTTTTTAAAACACTCTTTGTCTTTGCAACTGGTTTCTTTTCTACAGGGGAATTATGGTGATTTGTCATACTTGAGTCCAGGCTTTCCATGCTCATGTGTGTTGTAGGATGGTGCTATATTCCAGGAGAGGAATTAAATAGCCTCTGAAAGAGTATTTTTTCTTTTAAATGAGATTAAGGCACCTGAGGGCAGGAGCTTAAGTATCTAAGAAATCTTTACTTATATTAAAAAAAAAAAAGTGAGTTAATTTAATAGCAATAAACTATTTTTGAAATACTGCTTTTTTGAGCTTGAGGAACAATAAATAAATGACACTTTCATGTTGACTTCTAGTGCAGATTGGAAAAATGGCCAGTCCATGTAGTGTTCAGTCCAGATTACCTTTATTAGTACAAAAGTATAGACTTAATTGATTCTGCAAGAGTTCCAGGGTTGGAAAACTCCACACCAGTTTGTAGAGGTAGGAGAACAACTAGGAATTCGTCTCTTTTTAATCTCAGAATTCAATTACATAATTGTAACATTTTAGTGCTTATTTGGGAACAAAGTACACAGCCTTGTTTCACTTTGAACATATTTCTACTACTTAGAGGCACTGTATCTTCACAGTCTCTATCCAGCTCTACTACTTTCAAAAGCAGGAAAAATGGTCCCTCCGATTTTTTTTAATTTTTTTTTCTGCTAATTCCATTTAGTCACAGAAAAGAAAAAGAGGCAAATTTATTTATTTATTTGTCAGCAAAGGAATATGAATATTAGTTAAAACTCCCAGAACTATAACAGGAAACACTCAGTACTTGAAACATATTTTAAAGAACACTTCATCCTTGCAGTAAATGAGGCGTATTTTACAGTCTTTAGCAGCATCACAAGGTTAATACTGTACTAATTGTGTCCTTGCAGAGTCTGTATGATGGTCAGGAAAGGAGAAGGAAAGGCCTGCATGGTCCAATACCAACTTGTAGACTGGGCTCAAAGGTTTCAATGCTCCCAGGTTACAGGCATTTTATAAATAGTTAAATGATTACTTTTTTTTTTTTGTAAGTTAAGGGGAAACCTGGCACACCACTATTCAAACATCTTCACACATACTTAGCTGATTTATGTTGGATTCACAGATTGGTTCCTACTGAAGAGGTAATTTCAAAAGCAAAGGTGTGTCTTTGCCACAAGGATTTACAGTGTAAGTGAAGAGCACGAGAATAACCTTGTCCTTTTTGCATAATAACCTTCTTCTAGAGTAATTTTCCAAATGTATGGAAGCAAATAATGTCT